GATGATCCTGAAGGTGCCTTCCAACCCCACCCATTGTGTGATTTGTGGTGGATTCACAATACAGTTGATTTCTTTCTCAGATGGGAACATCTGACTCTGGTAGAAGGTGCTGCATGATGGTGGTAGATCCCTTTCCTCCTGTGTCAGGTTTTTCTCTCAGCACCCAGATGTTGAGGGCTGGAATAAAAGGCCCACAGGGTGTCTGGTGCTGCCACCAACTAGGAGTGTGAACACCAAGAGCCTGTCTCTCACTTTGCCTACAAATAAGTCACTGTTCTTTCCAGAATGAAGCTAAGGTCATGCTCAGAAGCAGTACATAAAAGTGCAGCTTGCATTACAGGAGAGGAGTGAATGTTTTTCTCCTTTATTCTCAGTCCATCTTGTTGATATCTGGAATATGATCGAAGCCTTCCGGGACAACGGCCTCAACACCCTGGACCACAGCACAGAGATGAGCGTGTCCCGCCTGGAGACCATCATCTCCTCCATCTACTACCAGCTGAGCAAGCGCCTGCCCTCCACGCACCACATCAGCGTGGAGCAGTCCATCAGCCTCCTCCTCAACTTCATCATAGCAGCCTACGACAGGCGAGTAGCCCCCCTGCCCAGGCTGCCTCTCTGCTGGGGCCAGGGCAGGGGGCTGGGGCTGGCCGGGGGGTGCTGGGGTCCCCTGGCACACAGGGACTGGCACTGCCACAGCCCGGGGCTTGGCCTGGAGAGGGGCCTTCCCCAGGAGATGAGGTGGTGCCTCCTGGAGCTCCCAGCCTGCCCGGAGCTGTGTCTGGACCAGGGTGGGCTGTGGTGTTGTCCCAGCACGGTGGGGAGGGGGGAGAGCCCCTGGCCCAGGCTGCCCAGGGAAGCTGAGGATGCTCCATCCCTGGAGGTGTTCAAGCCCAGGCTGGATGGGGCTTGGAGCAACCTGCTCTGGTGGGAGGTGAACCCTGAGCAGCAGCCCCACTCCCAGCACTGCCTGGGCACCAGCTGACCCCTTGGCTTCTTATTCAGGGCACTCTCTGGGCATCTCCTTGTGCCCAGCTCTATGAGTTTCTTTTGCAGCCTCTTTCTGCAGGGTTCAGTTTGCTGATCTTGAGTAGATGGGTCTCCGTGGGTTCTCTGAGTGACAGCTGCAAATCTTGCACTGGGGTTTAGCACTTCTTGCTTTTCCTCTCCTCTTTCTCACTGTCCACTGTTACTTCAGTCTTATCTTTCTTCTGCTTTTGCCCTCCTCTAGCAGTAGAGAGCTGCTTGTGGCCAGGAGGCTTTCACAGGGGCTGAGGAGCTTTACCCACGACAACCTGCAGCACAATAGTGTCCAGACTTTGGTCCTTTCCTAATGTGACTCCTCCTTATTGTCACCAACCAGAAGCTAGTTTTCCCCCTCAAAAAGTCCAAGACTTCAGAACAATCCCTGCCTCACTAGGGACAGATAAAACCAGCACAATCTCAGAGCAGGAGTTCTGCTGTGACAGCAGAGGCAAACGTGCAGATTTCTCTTTAGTTCTGACTTGGTATCAGTTGTGACAGGGTGCTGAGCCCTTGGCCCAGGCTGCCCAGGGAAGCTGTGGATGCTCCATCCCTGGAGGTGTTCAAGCCCAGGCTGGATGGGGCTTGGAGCAACCTGCTCTGGTGGGAGGTGTCCCTGCCCATGGCAGGGGTTGGACCTGGATGATCCTGAAGGTCCCTTCCAACCCAACCCATTCTATGAGTCTATGATTTGCTGATGAGTTTAGTTTTTCTGAGGTGGTTCATACTAGAAAATATAGAATTGAAAACCAGAAATGGTCATGGTTCAGGGAGCTGGCTCCAAAGGTGGAGGCTTTAGTTAGAGATACCCCTGTTTAGAAAAACTGCTTAGTTTTTCACCCATCCTGTCAGTAACCCTGCAGGCTGAGTCCCCTCTGGAACCCAGCACAGGACAGCAGCTTCCTCTGCCTTCCTCTGGCACAGGGGAGCCAGGGAGCAGCTGGGGTGCTGGTGGGAGAACCTGGAGGAAGAGGAGAGGCAGGGCTGAGGCTCCCTCTCCAGGAGGTGACCAGCAGGGCAGACATGGGTTTCAGACAGGAGGTGCACATCAGCCCTGGGCCAGGGCTGGGGCAGCTGCTGGGTGCCATGCACACTGTGCAGGAGCTTCTCAACAACCTGGGGCTGGTGGCAGCACCACAGTCACCAGCCTTCAGCCAGGCAGAGGCAGGAACTGAAGGTCTGACTGGTGCCTTCCCCAGGGAGATGTTTCAGTCAGAGCTCAGGTTGGGGCAGTATGAAACCTGCTCACATTGTCCACTTCACTGGGACCTGTAGGACACTCCTGCTCCTGGTGCAGGAGTGGTGTCCCCTGCTGTGTCCATGGGCTGTGAGCAGGAGAGGCTGAGGAGTGATGTCCCTCACTGCTTTCTCCTACAGAGCTTCCCGTGGGTGTTTGACAGTTTCTTCCTGGTCTGGTTTTGCCCAGGAGCCTCTCAGGGCTTTCCAGAGGCCCTGACCTGTTGCTGGCACCCAGAGCAATGGCTCATTCCTGGTAAGGCTGACCTGCTGGGAAGCAGCTCCATGGGGAAGGAGCTGGGAGTGCTGGGGACAAGCTCACCAGGAGCCAGCAATGGGCACTTGTGGCCAAGAGTGGGGTGCATGAAGAAGAGTGTGACAGCAGGTCAGGGAGGTTCTCCTGCCCCTCTGCTCTGCCCTAGTGAGGCCACCCCTAGAGCACTGAGTCCAGTTCTGGGCTCCCCAGTCCTAGAGAGACCAGGAGCTACTGAATAGAGTCCAGCAGAGGCTGGGGAG